TGTACTTTAGTCTATGCAAAAATAGTTCAAACATTGGAAAACCGTTAAAAATTTCACGCACCAGCGTATGAAAGCTGCATTCGAAACCTTGAAGGGTGGATATCTTTACCCCGAGTTAATAGTTTACCCGCCAAAATTTTCATGAGGCCGCAGGTGATACTCAAGAGCGCGGGAACGCTGAATTTGAATAGGCAAGGTCGAGCGTGGGCAGGGGTTCATTACCCTAAAATTTCAGCCTTCTAGACTCCGTGTTCCCGAGATATTAATTTACCCGTAAAAAATTTTCTCGGGCCCATGCGTGTTACCCGCGGGTACGGGGAAGCTGAATTTAAATTTGCAGGGTCACAAATTTAAATGCTCCCCTAAATTTTCAGCTTCCTAACTTTTGTGGTTCCCGAGTTGAAAGTTGCGGACAAGTTGCTGCGAACACACACACAACACACACACAAACCCACAGACAACCCCGTGACAATATGAGTTTTGTACTGCTGTTACACAGCACAAAACGCATAATGAAGGAAAGCTAAACGTATTGAGAACGCTAAGGCGCGCAGGATAAAATGACGATTCTCTTGAACAAAAAGTACTAATCAGTAACTGAGCAGCTTCCAAGTAAAGACTATTACCTAAAAAGTTCCACGCTCCAGAAGGTTTAACAGACAAAAAAATCTCAAAGCAGTAAACATATATAAAATAAAAATAACCAAAGTCGGTAGTATGTTGTTCGTTGTTTGTAGTACATTCGCACAGAAGCTATAAAGAATTGGATACTTGAGTTTTGGTATCGAGACGAATTTCTCTATCGCAATACGTGATATCAAATTGCACGCATCAGAAAACAAGCTGAAATATTTTGAAAAAAAATTTTTTTTTTTGAAGAAAACGATGTGTTTGGAATTTTGCGCGAAGCAATCACTTCCGGCTTAATTTTGTGAGCAGCAAAGAAATGCTAGAAATGAACAGGGGGTCGCACTTTTACGGTAACGCTCAATAAGCAGAAAGGGGGCAAGAAATGGGAGATTTCTTTATGTTTGCTGATTTTAGGAATAATTTCAACCTAAACAAGCACAATATTTTACCGCAAAATTCACGAAATACAAAAAAAAAAAAAACAAAAAGACTTCAGTGCTTTTCCAAAACGTTTACAAAGTCAAGCAAATGAGAGAGAAGCAAAAACTAGAGAAAAGTGGAGATGCCAGCCCCAATGAACGCCAAAATGAAACAGCGACTGATCAAAAAATCACGATAGCAGTGATGAAAATTATTAAAACTATAAAATTATTAAAAAAAATTATTAAAAAAAATAATTTTGAGTAAGCCGAACAAAAATTTAACATATGCTTTCTAAAAAGACTTCCCCTTTCTCTTTCCCCCTTCCTTCTCCCTCCCTTCCCCCTCTCCCCGCCCCCTCTCTCCCTCCCTTCCCCCGGCCCCTCTTCCGCTCGATTAACGGTGTAACTGAGTTGTATCAATTTTTCAGCAAAAACATGCATTTAAGCTATTGATAAGCACTGAAAACGAAACTGGTGAAATGTTGGCTTGGCTTACTTCATCAGTAGCTGCCATTTCAGAACACCAGGATCATCGTAAAATTCGATGTTCAGCCGCGCCAACAAATGCTGAATTGTCTCGACCATTTTCATTGGAAGCACATTCTGAAACACCAGGCAACAACAGTGTTTTACACAGCTTAAGTATCCATCTCAAAGTACACGATTCCTGAAAGAATCTACTTCCCCCCCCCCC